GATAGGTCGAAACAGTCCATTAATTCATTGGCCACCCCGATCTCCGGACCTTACCCACATGATTTTTTGTGTGGGGCTTTATTAAGTCCAAAGTTTATAAGACACGGCCAAATAACCGGGAGGTATTGTGCACTAGAATAAGGGAAGCGTGTGAGGAGATTAACGCGCATCAATTACGAAATGTTGTAAAACATATAAAAAACGTTATGAAAAANTAATAATTATTAATATATTTTTTTTGATAATGTTATTTATCTCATTTCCTAAGCATTACAAGAAACAAGTATATTGAAGCTTTGGTCACACTGCAAAGCAATGGAAAAACTATACTATACCTAAGTCATTCACATTAGGAAATTGTTTATAATGAAAATCCATAAATTAATTGTTAAATTAAATTAAAATTAAAATAAATTAATACGTTATTATATTGAAAATACTTTACAGCTGAATAATTTTGATTTTCTTAATTTGTATTCTCTATATATCTACCTCCAGTACTTTTAATCAATTGTCCATTTTAGACTTCTCCTAACCGAAATAATTGTTTAGAACAATATTGCACAACTTTTTAGGGAATTAAAAATACTGAATTATTTCAAAAATATTAAGAGGATTTTTGTAACTCACAGTAACCAACTCAGTATTACCGAAAATAGTTTCTTTAAAGATCTGATGTACGGTTTATAAATGCATGTTTCTAAACTTTGGTCAAAAAAAGAAAATAAATCAGTTTCTTCCTTTATATAAATAATACTGCAGATCCTCAACTTTGAACTACATCAGCTTTGTTACAAGTTTAATATTTTGTGCATTTAGCCACATATCTATAGAATCTTTTCTGATAACGATAAATAAAATATACGAAAAGTAAATAATTTTCTGTTTGCTAATGATGCATTGATTAAACAAAAAGGTTTGCTAAGAGAGTAAATAGAGATATATATGCCTTTCTAAGAATCACCTATTTATTTGATACTTCTAGATACCTAAGCGTCAGACATCAATTGAAATAAAACAATTCTATAAGGAATAATAATCTTTGTTTGTAATACTTACAGGTATATCTATATTTAAATACAAAGTTTTCACTCTTTTTTCGTATCGGTGCTAGACATCTCAAACCCAACGACCTGTATAGTATAGCTATGAATACAAAAACTCGCATTTAAAAATAATATCGCTTATATCGTCTCGCTATATCAGGAAAACATACTCGATTCTAATCAGAACTAGCGTGTTTATTGATTGAATGTTGGATTCTGAGAAGAAAAAGAAACTAAAATGTAATTTTCAATAATCTTGCCAAACAATTTCAACATCTGGAAGTTTGTTTGGGACCTACAATAAAAGACAATTGCAAAATATTATGTACTTCACAGTGCAAATCCTAAAACAAAATTTCGTAATTCAAGGTATCACTGTTTATTCCTAAATAATGAGATAACAGCTCTCATTGCACTGGTTTTATTCTATTTGTTGGAAACATTTCGCTCAGAATAGAAATCCCAGATTAAAGATGATAAGGTATTCATTTCCTGTCTGTATGTGTCATCAATTTGGTGTCAACAGTTTTAAATTATTTCCTTAATTATAAATTTACTAATTCCTATCACTAAATTATTAATGTTAAAAGTTAGAAAAATAACAGAAGAAAATGTATTTAAAAATTGGCGAATTACAAGAACCTTTAAGGAAAATTCCTGTTAAATGATTTTAAAAATATCATTTCACGACAATAAGACTGGCAAGTTAATACCTGCACATTAAAAACTAATTACGCATAATTTCCTGTATGTTTAACGCTTAACCTAGAAACCACTAAGCTTAATGTTAACAAAGCACAATAATTTCTTTTATGTTATTATTTATTCTTTAAAACCTTTAATAAATCCTTAAATAAATTTATTTTCCTTAAATTAGGTGCAATAACTACGGGCGCTACTACTATATATACTCGAAGAATTGGCAAAAAGTCAGTAGAAACAGTTATACATTCGTTGAATATTCAAACTTAAAAAAAACACTACAATGAAATCCGCTATTGTTGCTTTAGTATTCATTATGTCCGTCGTGCTTGTACAATGTACAAATGAAAATGTGGAAAAAGGTAACTATTAAATATTTTAGCTTTTATTAAGTTCAGTTCTACTGAAATTTTTTTTCTTCCTAGCTATATTTAGTTTTTTTGTTGGTGTTGTTGATGTTAAATCATTTTATAAAATTTACTAAACTTTCTAAAATATGATTACCTTATACTTGATTATACCTTATTCAATAAAATCACAGGTCTTCCTGGAATAAGGACTCTTGCCTTAAGGGACATAACCGATGTGCCTACACCAAGGGCCTGTGCATCCTCTAGCTGCAGTTCTCTTTGTGTCCGATATGGATATCTTGGTGGAATCTGCTACCAAAACGACTGTTGGTGTATTTACGTCTGAGAAAATTGAATGTAATACGAGAATATCTAATCATAGTATGGGTTTTGTTTTTTTATATTGATACTTATGTTAAAATAAAGTGATTAAAAAGTTTCTTCTTTTTGTTTTAAAAGTCATTTTGACTTGTGACAAACGTTTTTTGTTTAAGAAATGCTGATATCGCCTAGAAAATGGAAAAACCAAGAATTTAACATATTTTCTAGTTTTAAATATAAATATTATAAGCATAAACTACAAGTTTTGCTCGAGCTAACTGAACTGCTAGACAATTGATTGAACAATATCAGAACTAAGTCACAAACTGTATGTGATATATATTTTTTAATTATAACATTACACAACTTAATACGATATAGACAATAATGACAATTATTCACTGTTGTTTGTATTTTCATCATTTCATGAAATATTAAAAAAATAAAATAGAAGTGAATAAAAGTATGTTTCCTTTGTTAGTAGCCAAAATTTACTAACAGGATAACTGACGATACTATTTTTTGACAGTCTTTCCTTGGTAATAGCTTTTGCAACTTTTTTTTGTAATTTTGATCTATCTATATAAAAGTGAAAGTGAAATCTGTGTATATTACATCTACTTGCGAATTCGAAATATATTGAGTTATACACAGAAAGTCGGAGGTGGTGGATCTGCCCTTAAAAAAACATGTTGATATTCATAATTTATGCTATTACCTTTTCTTGCTGCAAACTCAAAACTTACATTTTCCAAGAGACAAAAAATATCGACATCCTTTTATCAAGTAAATCATCGTGAACGTGTTCCAAATATGGTTTTATACTTATTCAGTTAAGAGATATTTAAAAAAAATAACTTGTCAACAGATTATCTTCAACTGCTATCCATATCCTTGTAATAAATCAAAATTTTCTCCTAGTTTTAGAACTTTTTATATAAATTTTGTCTAAGGAATGCCCTGTAGAAGTTTAACAGTCGAATTAAGAGACAGCCTACATATTTACATATTTCATGAAATTGATACTTATTAAGCTTGACGAGTCTATATCTAATAGGAAGGGAAATATGGCCTAAAAAAGTACAAAAAAATAATTTTTACATCGATTTCCTGTTCTTTGTGCATAGTAGCTGATTCTTTACATTATTTTTATTACAAAATAATAATAATCTTATAAACTGCCTATTAATAATAGCGTATCAATTATATTGCGAATTGAGACATTATTTGTATACCTTGATAAATTTTGTAAGACGAATAAGCAATAAAATTTTTATCAGTGCTCTATTTGAATGAAATTATGAAAAAATACATCTGGCAGCTACTGTTACTATATATATCCCCTTGTAAGGCATTAAAGAGTCAGTAGAAATAATTACACGACAGTCAATTAAACAACAGCATAAAAGTAACAATGAAATCCGCTGCTTTTGCCTTGGTCTTCGCTTTCTCCATCATTTTGGTGCAATGTTCAGAGGAACATCAAGAAGGAGAAAATCCAGGTAATTTTGTCATGTATCTTATATATAATACTACACATTTTTTACCTATACCCGTTTGGTAACGAAATGACTGTTAAAACTGTTTAGAAATTTCTGAATGGGAATCTAAACTTCGATGGCATTTCTGATCTGATTCCTTTCTATTAAAAAAAATTAACCAAAAATAAAATTTAGAATGTTAAGAAATCTTAAATTAACTCAAAACTATTTTTTTATAGATGTTACTGGATCAACGATCGTAGCTCTAAAGGACATAGCCCAAGAACCCATGCCAAGGGCTTGTTTGTGCGCTAGTTGCAGTAATGTTTGCGTTAGAAACAAATACATTGCAGGATTTTGTTACACGGGAAGATGTTACTGTGTAAAACCATAAATTATATCTATTAATAATTGATCTTATAAGTACAACTAAATATTTAAGTTTTATAATGTCATCAATAAATGTATAAATAAACTAATACTTTCATAATTGTCTCCACCTAATTTTCCATTAATATACAACGAACTGTAGCATTTTATCAAACGTATCAACAGTAAAAAAAAATAAAAAGAAGGGTAGTCCAAAAAGCCATAATTGTACAGCATTTGGTTTACATATTTGAAGTACAACAGTCATTTTTTTATGTATGTATTACTTTAAAGTCACAAGAAAAATTCCAAAACTATGATACCTATTTACTATTTGAGAAGGTAAAAAAGATAAGGGACGCAGAATATAATATGAATGATACTATACATACATTTAAACGTTGTTTGTTAGTTGATAATTAAAAGTAGGGGTGTTAATAAACTGTATTTCTAACGAGCCCTTAAAAGACATAAGAAAGATTAAGGAATTCCTACGAATCCCTTTCTAGAATTACTTTATTTTATGTTTTCATTACACTTTATAGATTTTGGGAAGCTTCTAACATTTTTTTATATTTACCTTCAACGTTATAGTTGATTTTTTTTTGTCTTTTTCTCTATAACAGTCCAAATTTAAATAAACAAAGGCACTTATCAAAACTGGGGATACCCTGTTATATCAGCTTGACCTTTATATCTTCCTTGACCAAGACGCAGCATCACCACTTAGTAATAACTACACAACATTCGAAAAACTATTCGTGATGAAAGCTGTTGCTGTGGTTTTCGTTTTAACTATTATTATAGTCTTCACGGAATGTGCTCCATATCAAACGGATAATAAAGGTAAAACAACCATTGGTTGTATTAAATTATTTTTTTGCATCTATTTTACTAGGAAGTGAAGAAAATATGAACGACGAACTGCGTAAATACAAACAGAATAACCGGATAAACAAGATGTTTGAAGCTTCATAGACGTTTTTCTGAATTTCATCGAACACGATTTTCAAACTGAAAATTTTGTAAACAGTTTTATTGAACTTTTTTGTCATTTCAAATAAGTATACAGGGTGTCTCATAATTAGCTGCCAACCCTGAACAGGCCGATTCTATGATCAAAACTAAGTAAAAAAGTTCATATGAACATGGGTCCGGAAATGCTTCCTAAGGGCACAGGGACCCATTAAAAAGGGAGGAATGGAAATCATTTTTTTGCAATATCTCTCAATCGCGTTGTGATAAATGAATGAAATTTGGTATACACAGCTAAATTTTGATGAGCAATTTGATGGACTAATCCATTTATTTCCACAAAGTCCATTGGGGTGGGTACGGGGTGGCCCTTGGTACTTTGCGTGTGTAACTTTTTCATCTTTGACTTTTTAACAAATTAAACAGCAAATTCCGTTTTCCCGAACTGTTTTACGTTAAAAAGGTACTCTTCTTTCAAATCGTTATCTTTAACGGTTTCTGAGAAAATCGCTCTTGAATTAATCCCACTTTGGTCAATTTCATAGTAATTTAAACAAAAAATAATAATAATAATTTTCCTTTCCTCTCTTTTCCATTTAAAGGATTAATTTTTATTTAATTTTTTATTATTATTTTTTTATTAAAATTAGATTAAATTTAAACAAAAAATTTGTTTTGTTCATATGAACTTTTTTACTTAGTTTTGATCATAGAATCGGCCTGTTCAGGGTTGGCAGCTAATTATGAGACACCCTGTATAGAGAAACTACTTTAAATACGTAGGTACTAATATTCCAATGAATTTCTAAATTATACATATTTTTTTAATGTTCATTTTACTAATTCGCCATAGCGTCGTTCCCATAAAAACAAGACCACCAGTTTTGTTTTTAAAAGAAAAGTAAAAAGAGATAAAGGCGGTAGAATGTCACGTGAAGATCCCTGATTACGTAGAAAATTAAAAAGGCTACTTTTTAATATTATTCATTAGGGTAATCTCTTGGAAAAGTACCTACCACATATTCTATCAAATTATTTTTTCTGTTATTTCAGATACATCTGAAAAGAAAACTTACACCATCGAAAATATAAACCCTAACAACTTACAATGCGACCCCAATGGTTGCAATAGCGACTGCGTTGCGAAGGGATATCCTGGAGGATTCTGTTTTGCTGGTTCCTGTTGGTGTATCCTTGGGGAAAAACCTGAGAAAAAAATGTATACCATAAAAAATTTAAATTCGGACAATCTACAATGTGATCCCAATGGTTGCAATAGCGACTGCGTTGCCAAGGGATATCCTGGAGGATTCTGTTATGCTGGATCCTGTTGGTGTATCCTTGGGGAAAAACCTGAGAAAAAAATTTATACTATCAAAAATGTAAATTCTAATAATCTACAATGCGATCCCAATGGTTGCAATAGCGACTGCGTTGCCAAGGGATATCCTGGAGGATTCTGTTGGATCCTGTTGGTGTATCCTTGGAAAAAAACCTGAAGTTACCTTGATCAAGGTGTAACAAGAAGTAAATTTGACTATTTTTACGAATGTAATCCAGTAGCTTTTAAGATGTTTTAATAAATAGAAATGTATTTTTAGATATTTTTACTTTAAATGTTTATAATAAAGTACTATTATAAAACAATAAAAAAGTATTTAATTAGGTGACAAAAATGATTTTAAATTGATATAATTAATAACAGATCAATCAAATAAAACAAGGACATATTTTACTACAGTCTGTCTTGATTATTTTTTCATTGCTTACCTAGTCTTTGTGCATAAGTAACTGATCATTTACATTATTTCAATTATAACATAATAATAAACTTGCCTACTAATAATAGCATATTAATTATATTACGAATTGAGCCATTATTTATTTACCTCAATAAATTTTGTGACAAATAAGCAATAAAATTTTATCAGTGCTCTATTTGAATTAAATTATGAAAAAATGCTTCTGGCAGCCACTGTTACTATTATCCCCTTGTAAGGCATTAAAGAGTCAGTACAAATAATTACACGACGATCAATTAAAAAACAACATGAAAGTAACAATGAAATCCGCTGCTTTTGTCTTGGTCTTCGTTTTCTCCATCATTTTGGTGTAATGTTCAGAGGAATATGAAGAAGAAGAAGAAGAAGAAAATCCAGGTCATTTTGTCATATCTCTTATAATTATTTACCTATACGCGTTCGGCAACTGAATCACTATTAGGACTGTTTAGAAATTTCTGAATTATTTTTAAATGTTAATATTTATTCAGAACGCTTTTTGTATTTTTATTTTTAAATTAGAGTTTGTCTAAACTTCGATAGTATTTCTGGTCTGATTCCTTTTTAATATAAAAAATTAACTAAAAAGAAATCGATTAAGAAAGACAATTTGTTCAAATTCAGAATGTTATTAACGTTAAGAACAATTAATTAACGTAGAACAATTTTTTTATAGGTGTTACAAGTACGTGTTTGTGCACTAGCTGCTTGTCTTACAATTAGTAACAATAACATTGCGAGAAGATGTCAATTGATCTTATAGTTACAATTAAATAATTAAGTTTTATAATGTCGTCTATTATAAAAGTATTAAATAAATAAATCAGCGTATTTTCATAATTTTCTCCACCTAATTTCCCATTAATTTGCAACGAACTGTAGCGTATTATCTTCAAAATGCATTGGAAAAACCGTAATGTATATTATTGAATTCCAAGATAATGTTTATCTGTAGCAGAGGTTATAGTTATTAATATCACTCTGCCTTAACTTCTTGTTTTCTAAGTTTAGAAACATAACTAAGTTGAGCTATCAATTGGACATTTTTTTGGTGATACTGAGTTTTGTATAGGGTGTTCTTAATAAGTGACAAGCGTAACAAAGTGTACTCTCCTTTCTACCCAGAAAATAGTAGTAAAGACTAAAGTTTCAGGAAATTTTCTTGCAATATCAGAGAAATATATAAAATTAACGATTGATTGTCGCTTTTCGAACATGTAAACCAAACATATTTATCGTTTTTTGGATTCTCGTCTATTATCTGAGCACAATGATACGTGTCATATGTTTACTTTGATAATTTGCACAATACTTTGGTTTATTCTGCACATAGTCAAGATTGCCATGAAACCACTGCCTGGATATGTGTTTTTCGTTGTTAAATTTACTACTAATCGGCATGCAATTAGATCAAGACGATTTCAGCAACGTTTTAATGTCAACGTTTGCATTTTCAACAATAATTTACATCCTGTGCATATTTAAATGATCGTTTAAATGCAGATGTATAGAATTTTCTTGGAAAACAACATTTTTGATTTCATTCATGACGTAGGGCCTGTATAATATTTTGTATATTTAAATAAATGTTTCTAACCTTTTTTTTAATGTTTACCTTGCCTCTTTTTTGTCTTTCTCCTAATATTTTTGTTGTGATGCTACACATATCTATGTCATTGTGTATGTAGTTTTAATTACATTTTAGTATAATCTGTCTAGTGGAATGTAGACTAAAATTAGGAAGAAATTTTACAATGTTCATAATAAATGCAGTTTGAAAATAACTACCAATTGAACATGTATGTACTTACTACTCGCAAATAAACATAACACTTACCGAAACTAGGGATGCCCTGTTAAATCAGCTTGACCTTTGTATATTCCGTGATCAAGATGCAGCATTATCACTTATTGTAATAATATTCGAGAACTATTCGAGATGAAAACTGTTGCTGTGCCTTTCGTTTTAACTATTATTATTGGCTTTACGGAATGTGCTCCACATCAAGCGGATGATAAAGGTAAATCAACCATTACTTGTATTAAATTTTCAGTTTTGTTCTGCATCCATTTTATCAGAAAGTGTAGAAATATGAAGGACAAACTACGTACATACAAAGAAAAGTTACCGGATAAACAAGATGATTGCAGCTTCGTAGTCATAAAATAATTATTTTATAAATTCAAGATTGTCTTATGAAAAAAACTGCATTTCCCAGCGTTGTATCACAGTATATATAAATCAACAAGTTACGCCTCGCAATGTCTGAATATATAGACATTGTTCATTTAAAAACTGTACACGATTTTCAAATTGTAAAATTTTTAAATAGTTTTAGTAAACTTTCTTGACATTTCAAATAAGTATCATATTAATTATATTACGAATTGAGCCATTATTTATTTACCTCAATAAATTTTGTGACAAATAAGCAATAAAATTTTATCAGTGCTCTATTTGAATTAAATTATGAAAAAATGCTTCTGGCAGCCACTGTTACTATTATCCCCTTGTAAGGCATTAAAGAGTCAGTACAAATAATTACACGACGATCAATTAAAAAACAACATGAAAGTAACAATGAAATCCGCTGCTTTTGTCTTGGTCTTCGTTTTCTCCATCATTTTGGTGTAATGTTCAGAGGAATATGAAGAAGAAGAAGAAGAAGAAAATCCAGGNACTTTGATCTTTATCATTATTAGGCTTTTTAATACAAAAGTAAGAGGCAAAATTGGTAGAATGTCACGTGAGGATCCCTGATTATGTAGAAAATTAAAAATCCTACTTTTTAATATGCATATTAGTCATTAGGTTAATCTCTCGGAAAAGTACCATATATTTCCAATTTATTTCTTCTCTTATTTCAGATACATCTGACAAGAAAACTTACACCATCGAAAATATACATCCTAACTTTCCACAATGTGATCCCAATGGCTGCAATCGTGATTGTATGGCCAAAGGATATCCTGGAGGATTCTGTTTTGCTGCATACTGTTGGTGCTTCCTTGGAGAAAAACCTGAAAAGAAAACTTACGCCATCGAAAATATAAATTCTAAAAATCTACAATGTGTTGACAATGGTTGCAATAGCGACTGCGTTGCCAAGGGGTATTCTAAAGGATACTGTTTTGCTGGATCCTGTTGCTGTATGATTGGGGAAAAACCTGAGAAGAAAATTTATACCAACAAAAATGTAGATTCAAAAAATCTACAGTGTGACGACAATGGTTGCAATAGCGACTGCGTTGCCAGGGGATTTCTTGGAGGATTCTGCTTTGCTGGGTCCTGTTGGTGTATCCTTGGGGAAAAACCAGAAATGAAAATGTATATCACCAAAAGTATAAATTCTAAAAATCTACATTGTGACCCTAATGGCAAATAATATCCTGGAGGATTCTGTTTTGCTGAATCCTGTCGGTGTATTCTTGGAAAAGGCCTGAAATTATCTTGACCAAAGTATAACAAGAAATAAATTTCACTATTTTTGTGAATCCAGTAGCTGTTATAGAATTTTAATAAATACAAATGTATTTTATAATTCTTACATATACTTAAATATGTTTAAAATAAAGTACTATCACAAAACAATAAAAAAAGTATTTAATTGGGTGACAAAATTTATTTTAAATTGATAAAATTAATAACGGATCAACTAGTTTGCGTGATGTGACAATGCAAACATATTTCTAATTTTTAATAAACGTGGAGGAATTTTATATTTTTAGTCTGTACAGAAACAGTCAGGATAACAACAAAATATTTGATTTCACTTTGGAATAACTATTAGGTATTTCATTTATTTCCTATTTTTTGTGCATAATAGCTGACGAAGTTCTTCATGAATTAATTCACGAATTTATTGGTAAACAGTGTGGTTTTACACTGCTACAGACTTTATCAATTTTTTTGACGCATGAATCGGTTCTACCAACGAATCAAAGAAGCAAATAAATTTAAAAAATGTCACCTTTCCACTCATAATTGTAGTGATACAACAGCGGTACCGTTTTGACACATATTATATAAATATTAGTGTTTGTAAGTAACAAATCAGTAAAAACAATGCAAAACTAGTACGACGCCACACAATTATTTACATATTCCAATAACATAACCTCATTACTGATCTGAGGCTGGAAATCTGTTGGGTTGGTACTTCCGAACTTCACGAAGAAATTGACGAAAATTAGAACATGCTCTAATTCGTCAAGAACTTGATGTATAAATTCATGAAGTTATTTGACAGCAGATTTGGTGCATTACACTTGTCCAATTTCTTGATGAAGCGACTTCATGAATTAATTGATCAATAAATTGTTAATGTAAAACAGCTATAATAGCCGCTAATCTAGAACAATTTTATAATTTTGTTTACAAAATAATTTAAAAATAAATTTGTAAACTACCTACTAACGACAGTATATCAATTTTGTTGTAGACGTATTTGCCTTGATAAATTTTGCAAGACAAGCAAGCAATAAACTTTTATCAATGCCCTATTTGAATAAAATTATAAAAAAATACCATCCTCGCAAATGACTATATATATACTCGAGGAGTGTTGAAAAATAATTAGAAATACACAAGAGTTAACCGAACAACGAATATCCGAACTTAAAGTTAACAATGAAATCTGCTGTTTTTGCTTTGGTCTTCGTTGTCACCATCGTTCTGGTACAATGTTCAGACGAAAATGAAGAAAACCCAGGTAATATTTTTAACTCTCTATATACTTAATATTATCCTACGTTTATCCGTGATTGTTATGGGGACAACGATTTAATGTATACATTGTGACTGGCAGAGTTAGAACGTCCCGATTTTCTATAATTTATATTTGTGTTTTAATAAAAAATAAAGTAAATCATAAAAAAAATACTTGAACAATTAATTAAATACATAATTTCAAATTACAGGTGCCGCCGGAATAACGACTGTAGCCCTAAAGGACATATCCCAGGAACCCACCCCAAGGACATGTACTTGCGCTAGTTGCAGTCGTGCTTGTCTTAAAAACAAATCGTACATCGCTGGATTTTGTTACAGAGGAAGCTGTTGGTGTGTAAAAAAATAATATGGAAATTATACAACTATTTTTCATTAGAGCAATTAAATTACGTTTTATAATTTTTCAATACTTGTACAATGTTAAATAAACTAATAAATATTTCATTTATTAACTTGTGTGTATTACAAAGAAGCCTATTTCCACAATTTTCGTCAACTATTTGGACTGAGACAATTGCTGGTAAACAATAAAGACATGTTTTCAACCACTACAAATGACTCAGCAAGAACAACTTATACCTTAGACCACTGTACGACTCTTGAATTACCATAGATATCATGGTAACGGAAATTGTCGATAAAAACTCACACTGTATTACCTACAATTTGCAACCAACGCCCTCGCTGGCGCCACATTGAACTATCCTTCTCGACTGCAGTTTTACAAACTTGACTAAATGATCGAAGACCAACAATACTATTTTTTCTAAAGGAGAAGAATTTACGAAAATTTTGCAGTTAATTTGAACCTTTATAATGTTAATAAAACAAAGTTTGTAGATGATAGATATTTCTACGTTTCCATGTATTTATATCGTACATTGTATGTATTGCCCCTACCATTTATTCTTGAATTTTCCGCTTATCATTAGGTACGTCTATAAAACCTCACGGTCTGCATGCAAATCTGTCTGTACGTCACCATAAATTTTCCTTTCCGCAGAACACGCGGCCAATATGGCACCTTATGCGGGACGAATAAACGGGCCCAATCGGCATATCTATAAAAGAATAAAATATTTAACTTTCAAATGTTTGGCTTCCGCAGGACATCTGGCGTGTCGTACTCTTCAGGGATTACATAATCGCAGATCAGACCTGACTGAATGCGAGATAATGCAGTGCAAGGCACAGGGCCGGACCTGCGCTGTTGGTAACAGTGAAAGCTGTTTTGAGGATGTCAGCTTGAACTTGAAGCGTTATTTTCGCCAGAATACACAGCAACCGAATATTTTCGCCTAAAATAATGTCAAATAGCTTTAAAAATAATTGAATATACAAGTTTGAAAATTGGTGCGGTTTCAAAAATTTGAAAATTAAACCTATAGCGTGGAAATTACACAAGGGATTCAGTTTACAACTAATTAAAATCTGTTTTGCTTAGAAGCGTGTTCAAGAAATAAATGCACAACATCAATAAAAAATAAACATCCTAAATTATTGTCAATAACGTGAAAATTAAAAATACAAAAGGTTGATTTTCATCAAGTTTTGCGCATTTATACGCAACCAGTAATACACGCGAATCATCCCATTAAACGAGATGTATGTCACAGTATATGTCTTCAAAGTCAGTGATCATAGAATCGAAATCACTATTGTCTGGGCATCGCCAATATCAATATCGAGAGTCCCTCCCTGTGCAGAGATAGGAACAATCATACTGGTTACAACTTGGCATGCGGCTTATTTGCGTTTGCAATATGCCAAAGTAATGTTTCAAGTAACACTCCATAACCGACTATTGGTTACAGTGTTATTTATTACGTTGTGCCACCTGGCTAAATTTAATCACTTTCGATAGACCGTAATTGTGCGATGTAGAACATATGGAACCGATGATGGCATGGCAGCAGGTTGGTGTTTGCTTTATGTACAGGGCGGAGGATTTTGGGATTGAATTCCGAATTAAATTGTCATTTTAAAACTGTTTTTCTCTAAATATAACAGGTTTACAAGTTGACAATGCATTTCAGTCATGTAGGATAACGAATTGTAACATGAAAATTATTCAAACATAATGGTTTTCTATGTCTATCGTCTAGTATTTACAACACTTACAATACTACAACATTTATTATATTATTAGGTACCTATCTAAGAAATTTGTTAATTTATGTAAAATGCAGTCATCTGTCTGCAGTAATTATTAATTATTAATGGGGTGTATGTATTATTAAAGACCACAAAGAATGAAAAAGAATATATCTACTCAGTTTAAAGTCACTAGATAACATACTAATGACCGTAATCAGTGACTATAACAAGAATTCTTGTTATAGTCACTGCTGTAACTCAGTTAATTGTATAGCGCCATCTACAGGGACTTTACATGACATTTATATACAGAGCCATCTACTATCTACAAGTCACAATAAACAATAGGACTTTCTTTAGAAAATAGATAACTTTAATCCCATGAGTATAGTAAATAGTAATTGTAGTTATCTGTTAATTTAGCTTTTTTATTTGACCGGTCCCTCTAGCAAAGGGAAGATAAAATTCAAGCTATAAAATGATTTCTGCACACTTTTAAATTTTATATATCCAGAACTCAATCGTATTTTGTTAACGAACATACTATTGGCCAAAACCATAAGTAAGAGATAGATATAGTACTAGTTAAATAGCATTCATTCTGCAGCTTAATTTGACAAATATAATTTCTTCAACTAACAGATGAAAGATAAAATTTGACACAATCGCGGAATTCAGGGAGTTCAACTTAAATAAAACAGAAAATGTTCCGGCTTTTATCCATAAGATATTTATTTAAGCTTGAAGAGAAACTGAACATGGGGTACAGATCCCAGCATTCCAGTTTCGGCACCTCAGACTGTGATCGTTTAAAAGTGCAACTGAGTGCAACGTTAAGCAATCATGTCGAAGAATGTGCACAGCCACATTATGAAATTTTAATGATTTTGCCATCAGTTTTGCGCGCAATCGCGAAAGCTAAAAGTCTGCTCTTAAAAAAAATCAGCTGTGTTAAGTTGTGCGGGACTAATCTCCGGTATAATAATGATGCGGATGTAAATTAACTTATTTATAACAGGAAATGTAAGTAGGGTCAGATTAATTCGAGTTAATTTAAACGGTGAGCAAAAATTCGCCGGTTTTGCAGGCCCATAACGTGATAACATCTCAAAATATACGCTTGGTCCACCAGCACCCAAGAAAATGGATCTCGCGGAAACCATGAAAAATGTCTTAGCCAAAGGTATACAACAGACGTCAGTGATTGACTTGCCTTCAGCAGCGGGTTTGGGGTTCCCTGGAACTGGTTATGTTACTGAAAAATTGTACATGCTACTCCAGTTGTATTTGCAAAATAAGGGATGGAACCCTTCTGTGGAGCTCCTGCAGTGTTTTACAGAACTGAAAGAAACCTCTATGCTTCCTAGTGCTGCATACTTACAGTAAGTTCATTTTATTTAAACAATCTAATGCAGTGGCTTAAACCTATCAAAATTTGTGTTAATTCACTAATTAAAAGCAAAACAGATGGGTAGTAAGTTTTTTTATAATTTGAAGAAATTCTATTTTTCAGTAGTTTTGATGTGTTTAAAGAATAACAAAATGTCATATATTTATAATTTATTACATTTTTAGTATAATTTAGAAGACTCATCAGTGAAAAAGTATATACTATTTGCAATATGTATCGACTAATAACACAATTTTGAATATCAATTTAGAATTATTCACTATCAAACTGAATGATGTAGAATATGTATTGTTAATATCTCTTGTAGAATGATGGCATCGAGAGTAACACTTGATTCTCAGGGTAGGCTGATACTTCGCGAAAATGGGAAAATCATTCTACCTTTTGAACATTTTGCTAATGCTGTTATGTTAAAGCATATGAACGGGCCTCACGGCTTGCATTTAGGCATCGAAGCCACCGTTAGAGCCGTAAGTGTATTATTATGAAAAATATGTAATTTTATTCGAAAAATAAAATATAATAGGTTATGGATTCATACACAATTGGGAGGGAGAACTTTGGTATGGAAAAAGAGTTTATAATCGAAGTGGTACAGAACTGCCCCAACCCAGCTTGTCGTTATTACAAGAACCAGATGGAATTGACGCAGAAGACTTTACAGCACCTGGCGCCAAGTTATCTAAGTGAAGCTCAACCCAACAGCGCCGACATCAGGAACAGTAAGTCTTTGACACATCATTCGATATAGATTTCTAAATCTAAACCGATTAGGATTATCTGCGGTGGACTTGACTGGACAGAACAATTTAGACGCCAAACCGAACCCGCCGATGTTGGACAGGCCAAAATCGGTGGCACCGACTCAGCAGCAGATCACAGCGGCCCTAATTCAGCAACAGAACCGAGTCATCGCACAGCAAAACATCGACAAGCTCAACGCAAACCTAGAGAAGCAACGGCAGCAGATGCAGCTGCAGCAGCAGCTGGACATGGCCAAGGGGCAGCAGAAGCACTTCGAGTTGCCTTTGATGGACCACAAATTGACCGATTTTCTCAGGACGAACTTGGAAAGTTTAGAAGGTAAGATGTACGATTATGTTAATGCTGTAAAAAGTGTTTTGTGGATTTTACGAAGCGAGAAGCTGCAGCCGCATTTTGACGACACTCCCCGTAAATAAGTAACATAGATAATAATTTTCATGAGTTTAAACTTTACGACACATTAACAACATGATTTAACAAAAAAACAGACATATGCACAGAACAAAATGCTATCAGGTCCGAATTATTGTAATTATTTCACTCTTTTATTATAATTGCACAATAATTATTTTAAAAAGGTTAAATATTTCGTGTAAGGAGCCGTTTCTTTTGTATCCTCAGGCTTATCGGCAGCTAACAAAGACTTACTTGCTCTGCACAACGGGGCCTGGGCACCTGCCGCTGGTATGTCGGGTGTTACAGATAGCAAGAGCATCGCCGAAGGGGGGCAGGAAAAAATAATTCGCGCCTTTGGTGAGGTCATGAAGAATATGAACAGGATGAAGACTTACGTGCGTCCCGCTATGTGTAAACCCTACGGAAAACAGTCCGAGGCTTTGCAAAAAAGTAAGTAAAAAGGTTAAAGGGGTTTGGTTTTCAGGTTTCAACGGAAATGAACATTTTTCCTTTAATCCGTTCAGATTTATTGATGTTTCGAGAGACATATCGCTCTTTTCTTCATTTCTCAAGAAGATAGCGATGTGTGTCTCAAAACCCCACAACGGCATGGTAATTGCACTTTTCAACCAAATTATAAGGGGTGTTTTGAAAATTAGTTACATTTGATTAAAAGGAAAAGTTTTTTTTTTGTTATGTTAAGTTAGTGGTGTTTTATGATGAGAAATCCGAGGGGAATCCTTGAGAGCCCCCGAAGGCGGCTTTCGGGTAATGATTTAAGAAGCTTTGATCTTATCTGAGTATTCAACATTTTCCCAACGTAAACTAACAAAAATTACATGCCTTGTAGTAATCTCGTAACATTTCCCAGCTCTTATGGACACCATCCAACTGATACAGTCCCTGCGCAGTTTTCTGCCGCCGCCGCACATCCAGGTCAGTTCCTGGAAGAACGAGGACAAGCACCGCTATGAGGAGTCCTAAGTAATCCTCGCCGACTAATTTATATGCATGGATCTGTTGACGTTCTCTCTTGGCGGCGTCGCCCGTTAGAAAGGCAACGCGCCCGAGTTGCAATCCTTCTGAAGGATGTAAATTTATAGTATTTTTTATGTTCCTTTGTTTACGTAATTTATTCGTTGAATGTACGGTACGTTTCGTCTTACCCAGGATGTCTTGAATTAATGGAATCGTCTATAATGTATTCGTAGAAATTTGTTAAGTGTAGGCTGATCCGCTTGAGACTAAAAAAAAAATAGTTGTGAATAGCGCTTCTCATGGCAGCAAAATCGGTATAAAACGGTTCGAAATAACGGCGTGTCCGCGCTGTTTTCTGACGAAGAAGTAATTTTTCTTACATCGCGCTTTGTCGTATGCAAACAGGAGCGTGTTGGAATTGAATCTGAACTATATCGATGAACGTGTTTTAATGTAGCTAAAATTATAGTATTTCTTTGTGATATGTTGTACTTAAACGGGAAGTTTCTGGATAAGGCGTGAAATGAGATTATTTTAGAGATTAACGATGGCTATTTTTGTTGTAAAAATATAAAGTACAGGATGTAAGACCAACATCAAATCGAATGAAAAGGTAATGTTCCCAAAAACGATTGCAAATTTGCAGGTCGCTCTTTGTCAGTATCCATTCATAGATGTAGCACTCTGTTACATCTGGCCTGTAGTTAAGACTTCAGTAGATCTGAAACTGGTATATGTCTGATGGGTTTGACTGACGAATGATTCTGTTTACTAGATATTGTTAATAACCAGTCAAACTTACGAATTATGCCAAAAAATTAAAGTAAATTTAAATTTGGCATCTAATTATTTTCCATTTTATTAATAAACAGTAGAAGACTTGTAATAATGATTCTTCAAAGCTTTCCCACACCAAAAATAATGAACTAAAAAATTTTTTGCATCAGCCAAACGGTTTTTACATCATGTACGATTTATTTTCGGGCCATACCGACGAGCCAAAGTTGCATTATTTTGAACATGCTGGGAAGGAAATTTTTAATAGCCCGTAAAATATCGAACGCCATCGATAAAATTATTAACGGGAGAATTCAAATAAAAGTGTCTCCCTTAGTTAAATATTCGCTTTCTATTTATTTTATTTATTCTGTTCCTCAAAAGTATTATTTTTTATTGTTCCGAACTAACAATGACAGAAAAATATTAGACTTAAGTGAACTCTTTCGAGAAAAATAAAAGTAAATGTACGGCCAGGCTACAATGATCGTTAGGTTTTCCAAATCTAGTCAATAAGAATGAGAATGAAAATCCCAAAATTTTTGCTGTGATATTTACCGTTGGAAATTTTGAAAGTGACGGAGGGAAGGAATCGTAAGGTAGGTCTAAAAATGATCGAGTTTTGTTTGAATTACGGTGGATTTGTAGATCTGTGCCAGTAAAAACTGTCAAAGACTGTTAAAATTGTTTAGGTCTAAATAGATTAGGTGTTTTTTTGTATGTCTATTTATGTAAGATTTAACAAAGGCTATGAGACCATTTAATCTTGCCATTATTATAAGATTTTTTTTGCTTAAAGCTTTACATTGTCTATACCCAAACAGTATATAATTACGTTGAAATATTTTAAGTATTCTTATGTACGTGACGGACGAAACGATCTAACTTAGGTTTTTGTTAGTTTGTCTTAGGCTTTTTTGTGCAATCTCAATAAACATTTTTTTTAGAAATAAATTAATCTTTCATTTCTTCCACAAATATACACTTTATTATATACATATTTACAAAACGTACAAATAAATTACATAAAATATTTACACTGTTTTGCTTTTCTTTGGACTTTGCTTAATTTCAAGAGGTCGTATATTCATTTCCTCATAGAACTCGGAAAGTGACTGCTCCCATCTTTTCTCGAAATATACGTTTAACAAAAATTTCCCTTCGATTCCAGTCTTAAGAGCCCACGGTAAATAGTAATTCCTATAGAGCTGCCTATGCTTGGGTTTCAACCTGATAGGACCGAAAATAGCACCTCCGATGCACATGGGTAACTTAGTTTGAATTGCCTCCACCCATTTAACGGTAACCTCACCGAGCATATGTGTTGGCATTTGCAATACAGTATGGATTAAATCGTGAGCTTCTCTGTATCGTTGTATGACGTACGCCAGTTTTATGTCGTCGATAAATTGTACGGTCATCCTAGAATCGGGTGTGACCTGATTTTTAACCAAGAAATTATAGTATGTTCTCCCAAGTGTGCCTTCCGGTAATTTCTTCAAATATTTTAAATCGACAGTACTTGTGTTTATCCTAGGTCTATCGTTCAGTATTTCTGTTCCTTCTTTTGATTCTTCCATTTTTCTTAGCATGTATCGTAAAGCATGTTCTCCGGAAGTTTCCCCTAAACAGGCTATCATGTCTGCTCGATATGGGTTTACAAGTGAAACCGCAGCAGAACCTGCTGTGAGAAGCAGTCTTTGAAAGGAATTTATAGAAACGTGATGTTCTTTAAAATCATGATCGAATGTATCTACGTTAGTAGTAAAATTTCTTGCCTGACCGTAATTTGCAAAAACTCGAGAGTATAATTGTAGCAGATGTCTTTGTTTCATATTTTACATATAAATTTAATAAGCGTATCAACAATTAGAAAAGTAAATATAACCAAACTTTTTCTGTTTGTCTATTTCTTAAAGACTGTCATCCATTCTCATTTCTAATCTACACAAAACAAAGAAATTTGTATCTAATCCGTGGTTCGTTGATAGAAAACTATATATGTCATGTTCGTTGCGTTTGCTTGACGTACTCCATCTCAATCGGGAGTATTTTATCGGTGTTCGTTAAAGCCGAGCACAAAATCTATGTTGTTCGTTATGCAGGAGTATTTCACTTTTACTTTGTCATTTGTGCTGGAGCAAAGGGAGTAGAGCAATTACCTGATTTTCCACATGACAAAATGTTTATGACATATTCACAATCTTCGTCTAAACATGTTGATATATTTTCCAACTCATTTTTTCCTTCTTGCACTAGTAATTACGCCAATAAACCTAATAGGTTTTCTTTATTCATGGTGGTTATTAAATTAGCTTTTTGTATACCTAAACAGAAGAAAAACTGAGTCTCCCTGATTTTACTGCTCTACTTTGTGATCTAAAAGGATCTGCTGACGTCACTGCTCCGTACTCATCATGATCCAAGATCTCTTGGAGCCACAAGGAGTAGCATCTAACGAACAGGGATTTAATATTTGTATTACTAGTTTTCAATTTTAGTTGGCTGCATTGATAGATTTGTTAGTATTTNCCGAATAATCGAATGATTCTATATGACCACTCGAGATATCTCGAGAGATTTTCATAATCGATATAATCGATAATTTTCATTCGAGTAGTCCCATCACTAATCATGATCCAAGATCTCTTGTAGCCACAAGGAGTAGCATCTAACGAACAGGGATTTAATATTTGTATTACTAGTTTTCAATTTTAGTTGGCTGCATTGATAGATTTGTTAGTATTTTCTGCTAACTTCGTTTGTTTAAACTATAATAAAAGCCAATTTTTGATGCACTAGATTTTTCGATTCTGCTTGAGGTTAGAAAAGTGGCTGAAAATTATTGCATCTTCATGTAACTGACTGAAGTGAAAAAAACAGGTGTCCAGAATTTATAAAAATAAATCAACATGTATAGAACAGATAAACAGTTTATGAAAAATCCGGCAACGGCTCCATCAAGAATTTATATTGGTGCTTTGCCTAAAACTGTAATTGCTGACGATTTGGAGGCTAAATTTAAAGTACATGGAAACATTCTAGGCTTAGTGTTGAACAATGGATTTGCTTTCATCCAGTTTGAGTCCGAAGGAGAAGCTCAGTCCGCCATAAGAGGCGAAAATGCATCAATTCTGCATGGCCGAAAAATTGTAGTAAAGCAAGCTCTGGATAGATCCAAACCTGGAGGTCAAGGCCTCCAAAGGCAAGGGGGCCCTCCCAGTCAACCGCCAATCCAAATGCAGAAGCAGGGTCCACCTCCACCGGATACAACTAAAGGTCCTCTTCCACCTGTTCAACCAGTAAATAAACAAAATAACCCTCCCCAAAAAACTCCACCACCACCTGTTCAACCAGTTCAAACGAAGCCATCACCTGCTCCACCGAATGAAGAGCCAGATAGACCGTTGCCATTCCAAGCTCCTGATCGAGAGCCAGAACCACAGGACGAAAATATGGAAGATGACAGACCTAATATTCGACCTCCGGGACCCCCCCAACACAATAACGATAGAGGTAGAAAAGGTGGTAGAAAACCGATTCAGCACAGGGGTCCTGAAAGAGGGGGACCTAGAGGTAGATCAAACGAACGTAACCGCTTCCATGAGAGATACGAACCCGGACCCCAAAATATGGATATGTATAGGGAAGATACTTATTATGGGATGGATGACAGGGATTATATGCCACCCAGGGAAATGTTACCGAGGTCAGATTCTTATGCTTCTGCTCCTATAATGGAGGCACCACCTCCGCCAGAGAAGAATGATTGCGAAATTATTGTTGTTGCTAAAGCTCTTACGTAAGTATAATATTTTTCCCCTTATTCTTATTTTCGAAGGTGTTGAACATGGATTCGAGTTAATTTTGTGCTGTCGAACATAGTTTTCCAGGAAAAAATTAAAAAATTGTAATCTGTACGCTTAAACATTCACGGTTTACATTATATTACATATAATACAGTCCATATATCTTTTAAAACACAAGAAATTAGGATGTAATAATATTTTGGAAACAAATTGAATTTCAGCTGTTATTTTAGGCATATTTATCTCAAAATAATATTGATTGAACATCAACGGTTAACTTAAAATAATAAAGTAATGTGAATGATTCAAGCACAAAAATTAATAATAAAGCAACAAATTAGCACAATTTATTAAAGAAAAACATGACTTGCACGGCAACATCTAACATCCATTATGTATTTTATGTTGGCATTTGTACAATCAGGGAGTATGCAGAATATATCGAACAGAAGCTGAAAAATTTGGGTCTCGTAGTCGATTTACTGTTCCCAAACGAAGACGTCCCTATTGGAAAAGTCCTGGCTAACATTTCCAGCAGAGGCTGCTTGTACGCCATCCTAGTGATGCCACAGAACGAGGAGAACAGGAGTCTAACTTTAGATATCCTCCACGGTACTCCTCAAGGTATCATATTCCCCAACCTTTTCCCGACGTGCACATATTTAAATCTGTCGCTTTTTAGAACATAGAAACATGCCCGTGGAAGATGCTTTGATACTGATATCGCGCAATTTTGAGTCTTACATGAAGGGAGAACAGTTCGCTCCCGAAAACGCGGTCACCATGTCCATCAGCGACAGGCATCCAAATTCCATTCAGGTAGAAATCAATACTATTAGTTATCGGTTTATAAAATTTACCGGCGATAACTAAGAACCTATCTCTTTCAGATGATGCTCAATTTATTAGCAGAAAACCGACAGCTATCATCGATCCAGTACGATAAGATTATAAAATACATGGAAGATAGACGAGAGCTACAGCGGGAGTTTGAAGTCGCCGAGGGAATCCAACCTCAGGATTCTCAAGACTCGGATCCCAAGCAGGCGGAATTGCAGAACCGGATCCTAAACATCCTGAATAAATCCAACGACTCGCCCATACCGACGTCTATTACAGCACCGGATCCACCTCCACCGCAGCCTAACCAGGCGCCCATTCTGAAGGACCCCACCGTACAGAAGGCTTTGGACAGCCTGCTGCTGGGCGATATGTTCAAAAATATGGCAGGCAATGCTTGAATATTTTTCCGGTGAATTTCTAACGGTAGTTCAAATTTCATATTTGCCCGAGTGCATTACATTTTTTTGTATTTTGTGTTATCTTATGGTCGTAATTACTTGTAAGTTGGAAGATGTATCTTTTTACTTTATATGTTAAGATTAAACAGATTCGAACCATTTTGAACTTTTATTTTTGTGACCCTCCAGATTCTTCGATGAGTAAAATCTTATATTTTTTGTCTCGTTTCTGAGGAAATAAATTCATGGACAAAATCGAGTGTTTTTGTTTGAAGTGTAACTTACACAGGGTGTTTTGTAAATACAAGTTCAAGGAAGGACCAAATTCCTGGAATTTCTAGGTCGATTTAGGCTAACTCACCTATATCCGAAGTCGCTACAGTTGGCCGCTAGATGGCCCCACAGTTCCTGTAAAATTTTCGATTTTTCAAACAATTCGAATTTTTTTTTAATAACTAATGTGCATTAATTGACTGTTTGCTTTCGACTGACACATAGTATTATACTGAGTGGTTTTTTAACTTATAACCGCTAGAAAACTAACATACAGGGCTATCCAAAAGTCCAGATATGGCAGAAAAACTTTCAAAGAATGCATTTTGGGAACAAATGTTCCATACAAAAGTGTAAGGGTTTTTTCCTGGCTATCTGATGGTGACCTTGATTTTGACCTTCAGGGTCATTTGATGGTTTTTAAATGGAAACCCCTATTTTTTGGGGATTTGGAAAGAGCAGGAAATTTTATGTCCAAACATGGTTTTAACCATGACTTTGACCTTCAAGGTCAAATGTGGGTCGAATTCCAAAAGTCACGGTACATCAAAAAACTTTCAAAGAATGCATTTTGGAAAAAAATGTTCCAGACAAAAGTGTAAGGATTTTTCCCTGGCCATCTGATGGTGACCTTGGATTTGACCTTCAAGGTCATTTGAAGGTCAAGTTAAGTTTTCTAAATGGGAAACCCTATTTTTTATTGCGGTTTTTATAAAGAGCAGGAAATTTTATGTCCAAATATGGTCTTGATCATCACTTTGACAATGACCTTCAAGGTCAAATGTGGGTCGAGTTCCAAAAGTCCTGGTACGTCAGAAAAACTTTTGAACAATGCATTTTGGGAAAAAATGTTCCAGACGAATGTGTAAGGATTTTTCCCTGGCTATCTGATGGTGACCTTGATTTTGACCATCAGGGTCATTTGAAGGTCAAGCTGGTTTTTAAATGGAAACCCATATTTTCTATTGCGGATTTGGAGAGCAGGAAATTTTATGTTTAACGTTTTGTCCATGAGTGTATTCTTAGTTGTGTATAAAAATAATCCCACCGATTCCATAAATATTTTATTTACACAGTCAAAAACACAAAAAAAATAATTAAATTGTATTCATTAAATAATTATCTGATAACATAGCAATATACAAAATCATTCTTTTTACACAAAAATATATAAACTACCAGTCTATTTCCAAGTAAAAAAATAAAACAGAACACGAATCAACTTTGAAAGTTCCTTAATATACAGTTACTCTCGGTTCCAAAATATTTTACAAACAGGAATAATTCTTTCAAGCTGCAAAGAACTATGTCGCAGTTCGGAACATACTAATTATATATATACAAACGCGTACACGGGAACGTCCAAATTAACTCGCCTATTACCAAAACTTAAATTCCGCTCCGTTAAAAGTGGGCGAAACACGATTTTATCGCAGACAGCTAACCTGATTTTGACAATCTTTGTCCGGCATTTTCCCAAGGTAGAAATTATCGAAATGCACGACTGTTTTTTGCTGAACCAAGCCGTTACTTCGTCTTTTCTGAACGATTTATTCTTCGATTCATAGCAATATCTCTGTTATTAGTCGAGACACGCAGTTAAAATAAATCGCGCTAATTTGTAGCGAAAATTCAAACTAAAAAAAAAGCCACAAATAAATAATTACGATTTATAGAAAAATATGTAACGATATTAATCAAGAAAAAATTGTCAAATACGGGTCGTTTGAGTTGTTAGTTGATTTTTTTTGTTGTTGTGTCCAGGTTTTTATATTTTTGAAATAAACTGGTAATGTAACTACAGGGTGTTTCATTTCCGGTGTGCCAAACGAACACAGATAGAGAAAGTAATTTTGAGTAACCACCACCACTGTGGCGCTACTCCCCTTTAAAGGGGGCAATTAAGACACAATTTTATTACAATATCTCGAAAATGCTTCAAAATAAATTGATAAAATTTTATGCGGAGGTACCATTTATTACGAGGAATTACTGTATCTAAACCAAATTTACATGTTGTTTTCAGGGACGTCCCCACAGGGGGTAAGCCAAGGTTCAAAATCCGTAACTTTTTTTTGTATTTGTCAAATTAGTAATTTTTTTTTAGAAAACCGAAATCCTTGACCATTTCTACATAAAAAAATATACCTGTTTCATGCAGGGAAAATAGAATTTTAGGTTCTTTATAATTTTTAATTTTCAGTAGAAGCACGAGTTAAAATCGTTTTTTCTGGAAAACCGTTGCAGATATCGTAATGAAACAAATATATCTTTTTTATGTAGAAATGGTCAAAGATTTCGATTTTCGTAAAAAGAATTATGAATTTGGCAAATAAAAAAAGTTACGTAGAGACGCTCCTGTAAAAAATGTGTCAATTTGATTTACTAAAGTAATTCCTCGTAACAAATGGTACCTCTGTATAAAATTTTTACAATTTATTTAAAGCATTTTCGAGATATTGTAATAAAATTGTGTCTTAACGGCCCTCTTTAAAGGGACGTAGCGCCACACGGGGGCGTTTTCGGACATATGAAGTTTTTTTGCTCAAAATTACTTTATCGTCTGTGTTCGTTTGGCACACCGGAAATGAAACACCCTGTATATATCTTATTTATAACAGAGATATTGTGAATCAGAACAACGGCTTGAATCGAGTTATTTTTAATATTTTAGATGGCGCACGCTACAGGACGTTTCAAACTTCCGTTTCTTGCCGAAAACTGAAACCGTCAAAATTATTAGCCACCGACGAGCAATCGAGTTTGAAATTCAGTGCCATTCTTAACGGGGCGTAATTTTTTTCTAGGAACCGATCGATTTTAGCGACACGTTCGTATGCGGGACATTTGATGTCGGAAACGTTTATATCACACTTTAATCTCAATAACTGAAACATTCATTGTAAATCGTAGGCAAATTACGTCGGACGCCCCGCGCACGCGGCTGGCCAGAAAAATAAAGAACACATAATATACTTCACTAACGTTTACCATAATATAGTTAATAATTTAAATTTTAGTGCATGACTTCCCTAACATTATCAGCAGAACGTTTTCCGAGGCAAAACTTGCGACGCAATTAAAACGGCATTTTAGAAATAAAACGTAACACGGTATTATTGTCATTTAAAAGATATCCCTGAAAAACGTAATTCGTAAATAAAATATATTAAAAAAATGTAAAACGAAATATATGTTGCTCCAATACGATTACACTTAACAAAACAAAAAAAAGATGCTTTAAAAACTATCCTCGCTGTCATCCGGTAAGCCGTTGAAGTTCAGCGGGCCGGGCCGCTGGCCCGAATTACTCTCCGACGGATACTCCTCGGGAACCGGCGATACCGGGGAATCGATATCCGTCGTGCTGCGTCCGATCGACGGATCGAACGCCTCCTTGATCTGACTGCTCGCGCCCTTGGGGTCCAAGTCGGTCGCCCAACTAAAGTGCATCAACGCCAGGTCCGTATTGCCCAGCTTCTTGTGGACCTTACCAATGAGATAGTAAACCAAAGATTCCTTGGGAACGATCTCCTTCAACTCTTCCAGTTCCTTCAGGGCCTCCGCGTGTCTACCGAGGGCGAAATATATGGAGCCCCGGTGGAATTTACATAAGGGACTCTTGGGGTTGTTGGAGATGGCGCTGTTGAACGTAGACAACGCCTTTTCGGTGTCTTTGAGGGCGTGTTGGACGACCCCGATGTGGCACAAGATGACGGAACTCTTCGAGTTTATCGACAGGGCTTTGGTGTAGTTCATCTCGGCCAAGTGGTACCGTTCCTGCTTGGAATAGATGGTCCCGATGCCGAACCAGGCGTTGTAATGTCTCGGATCTAGCCTGATGGCGTTCCTGAAGCAACTCATCGCCTTGTCCAGCTCCTCGGTCGTGATGTACTCGTGGCCCAACAGGGTGTAGGCGTAGGGGAAGTTGGCATCCACCTGAACAGCTCTTTGGAAAAATTTTATGGCAGTGTCGTGCTCCTTGTGCAGCGAAAAACAGTTTCCGCTGACGCACCACGTTATCGGCGAGTTCTTGTTGGAATTGACCATATCCTGAGCTAGGGCCGACAGGGCCACCTCCCTCTGCAAATGCCACAGAGCCGTCGAGTAAACGTCCATGTACTCCAGGCGGTAGGGCTCCTTGTCGTGCACCTCGCTGAAATATTTGACGCTCATCTCGTAATCGGCCTGCTCGAAGTAGGCCAGACCCAACAAACAGTAAATCCAAGAAGTGCCGAACTGATTCGGGGGCAGGGCGTTAAGGTGTTCGATGGCCGAGACGCAATTAAATTGCGCCAAGTTTATGTAAGCCTGGCCTATGTCGCGCAGCAGACACATGAGTCCCTCGGCGCTCTGCTTCTGCATCTGCACCGCCTGCTGGATACAGCTCTCCGCCGAGCCGTTGGATATTGCACTTTTCTCGGTCTTGGTCTCCGCCGACGTGATCGTCTCGCTCTTCTCCTTCTCCATCTTATTCCTCGTATTCAGGTCCGTGTAACTGGAATTCTTGTTCAGATTGCACTTGGATATCCTCTGTTTGGTTTTCCGCGATGGGGATTTGGGCGAGGCGAACTTGTTCCTATTCGGGGACTTGTTGTTCTCCTTCACGGAGTAACTGTTGCTGAACAGTCTCGAGCTGCGCCGGACGTTCTGACACGGCTGTATGGCGAGGGGGATCGTAGGCGTTTTACTTACGGGAACGTTGGTGGACTGGCTGAACACGGGCTTGCAATTCTGGAATATGGACTCCTTCCGGCTGATGAACTGGTCGACCTGGGCTCGCATCCTCTTGGCCAGCGACTGGTGGTGATTGTTTGATTCGGTGAGCGTCGGCTGGGACAGCAGGTTGGGAGTGCCCATGAAATCCGTAGGGCTGTCGAAGAGTTGGCCGAATGTCGGTTGGGGGCTCTGAAAAACATCGATTATATTTTTCTCATTAAAATATTGACAATTTTTTTTATTCGTTACTATTAGCAGGTCGCGCTGTGTCAGTAGGTACAAAGTAACGCTTTCTGCCAATAGACGTTAAGTATCAATGACATTTAAGGTATTAAATATACTATTTTAGATGCGATATACACTTTGTAAGATATATTAAAACTTACACTGCTGCAAGACTCCAGTCTAACTTTCATCACCTTATACCGCGAGGCCGGGAAGGGTCTAATACCAGACATGCAAAGTGGAAACGCTAAAGGGCTTTCTTCGGGCGTACACAACTGTTTCGTGTTAGTATTCATGTTTGGATTGAAATTCGTCAAAATCTGCTGGGGGGTAGTTATATACGCCTCCTGATTATCCTGACTGGGGGTACCGTTTGTTATTATAACACTCTCGATATTATTTATGCTGCTTCCATGGCACATTGAAAGGTTTTCCATGTTGTTTATTTGGAAGATATTCTGGGGATTCGGCTTGTCGCCGATTTTACAGAGGCTCTCGAAGCTTGACCAGAGGAAGGGGTTGAGTTTGAGTGCCCTTTTCCATGCGTCGATGGCTCTGGTCTTGCGTTCAGTTTTAGCAGCGATTTTCCCAAGTAATGCTAAGGCGAATGATGCTTGATCTCCAAACTCTTCTGTTATGTCATCCAAGTTGTTGCCCGGCTGGTTGTTTTCCAACAACACTGCTTCAGCTTCTGCATATCTTTAAACAGAAATGTTTTGATGTGTTTTTTTACATACAATGATAAGAACAACTCACTTTTCAAGCTCATAAGCACAGATTCCAAATAAATATCTACATTGAGCCGAAGTCCCTGTCCTGTCTTTTAGTGTGTGATAGGCATGGTCCTTTTGTCCACTTCTAAAGTAAGCGGTAGCAAGCAAGAACAAACTTTCGTCGCTTTTAACTGAAATAGTTTTTGTAATCAATATTATTTTCCACAAAACATTGACAACTCTTACCTTCAGCATAGAGACGTTCAGAGAGAAAAACAGCATCTGTATAATCATAATGGTTCAAGCAATGCCAAATGGCAGCCTGAAATAAAGTACAATTAATTAATTTAAGCAAATTGACTGCATTGAGGTTAGACGTAAATTACCTGCACTGGCTCTTGCACAATCATTTTTCTAATTTAGAGGGGTTTTGATCACTGTAGAGACATTACTTGTAAAATCTTATAAACAACTACAATGTATAAATAAACACTAAACACTAATCTACACCAATTTCACAATTTTATATTAATTTGTTTGACATAAGACTTGAAAACGAACGTCAACGGCCATTTTGTATTTCAATTGTTTTTGTCACAAAACACAAAACATAAAATACAGTTTTTGTCATCTTTCAGGGCAGGCAACATACAAATATTTCAAGTTAAATAAATTATATTTTAGTTCAATGATTATAAGTATTATATGTTTTCTGGATTATACGTTATAAATAATCAAGACACAGTTAACTAAACAAGCTAAGTTTTTTGTACTTGTAATATTTTGATTATAATCGAGATCAGAGCAGCTGATTGATTGATTTTAAAAACTTAACATACATTTTAAATTTAGCCCATAGTCTAGTCTCCTTGATATAACCAATCAGCTGATTTAATTTCATGGTATAAGGTACAACCTAAAAGTTATGTAGAAAGTTACCACTTTAGATGGTAATGGTGGTAACTGGTAATGTACGGGCCAGTAGTAATGGGCATAATCGACCAATTTTGATAATCGAGTTATCGGTAATCGAGTACTTCTAATAATCGAGTGATCACTCGAGATACGAGATATTGGTCGTTTTCATCCCAGCGGCGCACAAATATGTTTGTATTAGTCATATATTACTTATAAGCGTAGCTAAAAAAAAAAGCTCACGCACTTCAAAACCTAACCACTTTTTCGTTTTATTCTAAAAAAAAAGGTTACGCAATCAGTGACTATTTACAGTATGCACTAACATTTTGGGGTGCAACCGTAGGCTAATAATCACTCGAGTGGTGGGAGTAAACATCTCGAGATATCTCGAGTGATCTCAATAATCGAGTACCACTCGATTTTTCACTCGAAATCTCCCATCACTACGGGCCAGAGAGATTATGGTAATTTCTCCCGGGTGACGGCTAAAGATTTAAAACTGAGTAATGTTAAAGATAATAGATATCCTACGTTGTATTTCATGATTTCAGAAAAAGTAGGTTAACATTTGTTTCAAGATTCAAAAATACACGCGAAAAATTAATGAGTTAATTTCTTTTATGTTGCCAGCAAAATGTCAGAGATGAGAGCTGTCAGCTGTCAAATAGACGTCAAACGTCAAAGAACAAATATCTGTCAATTTGTTAAACTGCTGTCTGTCGTTGATTACCGACAGAGAAGTGGAAAATCTGGAAAGTCGGTCCATGTGAAACATCTTTAATAATTTTATGAAATTTAATTAAAATACGATAAATTATTATTTCGTGTATATCACAAAATCGTATTATGCCACCCAAAGTGAAACCAGGAGCCCCCAGTAAAAAAACAGAACAAAAAAAGAAAGAAAAAGTCATAGAGGTAAGATACCTATAAGTATTTCCTGATTTATATTTGTATTTTGAATATGTCCATTTTAGGACAAAACATTCGGATTAAAAAATAAAAAAGGGGCGAAACAACAAAAGTTTATACAACAGGTTGAGAAGCAGGTTAAAACTGGGGGAACACATCCACTGAAAGAGGATACAAAGAAATTGGAGAAAGAAAAAAAGTTGAAAGAACAGAAAGAATTAGCTGCACTTTTTAAACCAGTTCAAACGCAGAAAATTGAAAAAGGTATAATTCATCATATATTAATTAATATTTGAAACTTTTTTAAATTGGTTAATAAGTTGTAGTTTCTGCTTTTTGATTTCTTAAAAAAATACTTAATTTATATGTATTTTGTTTATTTTTGAATTTGTTTAGGTGCTGATCCAAAGTCGGTAGTATGTGCTTTCTTCAAGCAAGGTCAATGTGGCAAAGGTGATAAATGTAAATTTTCCCATGACTTAACAATTGAAAGAAAAGCTGAGAAACGTTCTATGTATGTGGACATGCGAGATGATGAAAATGAGACTATGGAAAACTGGGACGAAGACAAACTTAAAGAAGTTATTGAGAAGAAACATGGCAAATCGGGAAAAATGCCTACGACTGATATTGTAAGAAAAATTTGATTATTTTGAACACTTATTATAATAAATATACTTTCATAAGATTAATTAATAGTACAGTTTTAATTAATTTTATTTATTTAATTAGATTTGCAAACACTTCTTGGAGGCCGTCGAAAAGTCCAAATACGGTTGGTTCTGGCAGTGCCCGACTGGAGAAAGCTGTATATATCGACACGCCTTACCTCCCGGCTTCGTGCTCAAAAAAGACAAGAAAAAACTCGAAGACAAGGCGAATGAGATAACCCTCGAAGATCTCATTGAAAAGGAACGTGCAGCGTTAGGACCCAAGCAGACGAAAGTAACGTTAGAAACCTTCTTAGCGTGGAAGAAGAGGAAAATCCAAGAGAAGAAAGACCAGGCGATGCAAGATGAAGAAAAGAAACGAAGCGACTATAAGGCCGGCAGGCAAGTCGGATTATCTGGCAGGGAAATGTTCAGTTTCAATCCAGAACTCGCAGCCGATAGTAACATGGAGGAAGGAGACGAGTTGTTCGATTCGTCTGCGTTTAATAAAGAGGAAGACGAGGATAGCAATGTTTACAAAGAGATTAATTTGGATATTTTGGGGGGAGAAGCACAAGAGGTAAGAATATATTTGTCTCGGGCGTAGCCCTAACGGTTTGTCATAGTTCACTGTAAACGAACCAGTACCAGCCCTGTAATGTTGGTTGCCTAAGCTCGGCACCACACAGCTTGGAATAATTCTCGTAAAATTGTCATTGTAGGTCTTTCAGGTCCATTGTGTGAATCTTTTTCAGGTGGACGGTTCTGGTACCATAGCCACCGAAGAGAGATTTAAAGAACAGAAACCCGAGGAGCCCACGACGTCGAACGGTGTGGCAGAAGGCGCAGCAGCTGTTCCCATAAACGAGAATCTTTTCCTCGAAGAAGACCTGGACGGTCTAGATGAAGAATTAAATGATTTAGATCTAGAGGAATAATACTAGGGGTGGACCCACTCGATCTACCCTATCGGATTTATTAGAAAATTTTTTTTTTGGAGATTTCAAATGTAAATAGCCAATTTATTGTCACAAATTAATTAATTACATAGTGTTTTTTTTAATTAGTAAAATATAAGTACTATTGTGTGTAGTTTTAAATTTTCCTAAACTTTTTTTTTGTTGTAATTGAAATAACGATTTCTATTAAAGGCATAACTGAAAAAAGCCCAGTAAGTCTTTTTTTATAAACTTGTCAAATTGGTGTTTAGGTTTGTATTACACAATAATTTATTTTCCAAATAAAAGTCCTTTTATAAGTACGAGTGTTATAAATTTCTTCAGTAAAACGATACCGACAATTTGCAGCCTACATTTAGAGTTGTACATATGTTATACAAATATATGAATTTCTATAAAAATACATCTAAAAATCTCCCCACAACTCCTCAAACTCCTGGCTAAATCTCTCTATCATGTTCCGGTTATTGGTTAGAATAACATTTTCGAAATTCGAAACGAGTCCTTGCCCCGTTAAATTCATAGTGCCGAAAAACATTTTAGCGCTACTTTTATCATCCTTATCAATTAAACAAAATTTGTGATGCATCATACTATGATCGGAAGGCTGGACTTTAAATGGAATTCCTAAAATACAGTTGTGCGGAAAACGTAGTTAAATTTCCATAATTCAACTTACCGTTATCCTTTAATTTGGCAAAATTAAATTTGGCAGTTTCAGTCCTTAGCATCACTTGATCCGTGATTATTCGGAGGTTTACTCCTCTTTTATGAGCTTTTATCAACTCGACATTGATCTGCTTCAATGTCAGTGTATACATACACAAACAAATACTTAGTTTGGCACTAGATATAAAATTAATTAAAGTCTTCAGATGATTGTAAGAGCAATGATCACAGCATTCGTCTTTATTTATTAAGTGTTGCTTACATTTAAAGTTCTTCATGTCTATAAATAAACATTGGTGGTAGTAATCTTCATCTTTTAAGTTCAAGTTGGCCAAAAGTTTTTTGTATTTCCTGTTAATAAAATAGTGCAAAGCTATGGGCAATGCGCAAAATGTAATAAAAATCACAGAAGGTATTGCGTTAACCATTGTACAAATTTTTTGATTTTTTAATGAGGTTATAAATTTAAAAATATTTCATTCAATGACAGCGCAGCGGTCAGAGAGCAGAAAACATACTGAACAAATTCCCCACTTTTCTCGTGTAACGCAAGAAATAGAAGAAGAAGTAGAAAGTTATGTGCCACATCTGTAAATCGGGCCAGTATTTATTTGAATGCAAAGTATAAAAGGGCATATGTATATGGAGCAAATTTTTAATATTAAAGAAGGCATATTTACAAATATTTCGTTTATTTTTTACAACATACAACAATTATTGTCAAAAGTATAGGAGAAAAGTCGATGTAGAAAAATGATCATAGTGTAACAAATTAGGTAAGTATATAATATAATAAGTTCTCTATTCTACAAATAAAAATTTGCTGAAAGAAAGCAAAATTGACAAGAGAGTAGGTAATAAAAATATTACAATACTTTGTCATTACATTTATTATTAAAATACAGAAGCGAATAGAAAATTTTTTCTCTAGTAAATGTATAATATATATTATTGTTTTGGTCATTTTGTCTATTAGTACCTATATCTATCTACAAAAGATACAGATGACACTGAAAACATTTTATATGTATATATTTTTTGTTATGTGTAGAGTACCTAGACAGAAATGGAAGGATTTATTTTTTAAATATTCCCCAATAACCGCATATTTGTAAATTTATCAAAATGGTGCACCACTACCAAATGGTGAAACGAACGTGTATGAAAATCGATCAAAAGAACATGTGGTTGATCAGTCCAGTCCATCATAGAACAGATGTGTTGATTTTGGTTCACGGCTGGTGAATAATAAGATCGCTAACTGTTTTAGCGATCTTTCACCACATTTTTGTCGTTACCAGTTTCCACCAATCGGTGAACCTACTTTTGAATTTTTAGCATGGCATCACACCAAATTGTTTGATTTACGAACACACGGTATACATTAAGTAAAGTTAATTGTTTTTTGACAAGGAAAATAATCTGTGTTTAGGACCTAACATATAAAAAACATATCTAAAACAAAGTAACATAACATGTATACCTACAAAATTTGTAATTCGGGTTAGTCAAACTAAAAAAGTTGCTAAATAGAAGTGTAATAATAGTATCCTTACCTACAGGTATTCAATGCTACTTAAAACTTTCCTTAACTTGAAATAACAGAAAATTAATAATAAATATATTAAAAAAACTTTAAATATAAATAATACACACAATTTTAGATAGAATTATTGGTTCTCAAACAATATGAATTAAAGAAATTGAGCTTTTTCTGTTAAAAAAAAACATGTTAAAGTGACTGACATCGCAACACAGATGGCTGATTTTAAACTAGTGAAATGAAGATGGGGTAAAAGCAGTGATTTATACTCCTACACATCAAATTCGACAGATATTTAATTTTATTTAATTCCATTTGTGCGATATTTGTAATAGTTTGGAAAAATACATAACAGTCTCTGTCTTTCCTCTCAACCTCCTCTATTATTTCACATCTATTGCTCAAAAGGCGTACATGTACAAATAACTATCATACAAAAAATATTTTTTTTGATTTTTGATTGTTTAAAAATCAGTCGTTAAAACAAATACTTTTCTGATTTATGTAAATGTAAAAAAGATTTTTTTTGACACGTTGAGCGGTACAGCCGCTGAATACCAAATACTCTTTTACATTTCTACAACTAATACGAAACAGGTTCATATAAAACTTGGGCCTCTATTTATGCTACAGGATGTGGAGGTTCTCGCAGTTCTTGAACTTGGAGTCTTCCTTGCCGAAGAGCCACGTGAACATCTGTCTGGCCTTCATGCTCGCTTTGACCATGCCCCTGCTCTTGTACCACTGCTGGCTGTTGCCTCCTTCCTCGAAGTTTAATACTTTTAGCCTAATTTGCGTTAAAATCCCCACCAGGAGTTCGTCTACGTTGTGGTTGATCCCTACTGAAATCTCTATGAACTTCGCTCTAAATGTGCACGCCAGGCATTTACCATCTGCAACAGAACCATATTTGAGCAATTTGAACCTGGATCAGCTAAACAAAGAGCTCTCCAACTGATTTTGACAGTACGATGTGGTTGTATTTTGAATTTATAGATGAAAACTAACCATTTGCTATTTGGAGCTCGAAGCGAGCAATAACTAATAACAAAAATGTTTAATTTTTCTAAATAATTCTTAAAAAAAAAACAGGGACTGCAGTAGTGAACAATATACGGGTATATTCAAGTAAACAAAACAGTTAAAACAAACAGTAATTCGAATTGGTATTGATTGAACCTGGAAATACTTTTGTGTTTACAAACAATCTAATATCGGGCCTGTACGAATTTGATCAGCCGCCAAAATCACGAATAAAAAATAGAATAAAGTTATGCAGTACACCGGGTTGCAAAATAAATTCGCGTAATACTAAGTGGGAGCTGTAAAAATCGTAAAAACGATAACAAAAGAGTGTTTCTATGTGAATAATTTCGATGTTTTTAGTAGACGGCTTCATAAACTTTGTTATTGCAGCTGCGATTATTATCAATTATCTTTTTATAGATCGTATCTATCTCTGAGTGTAATAATAATAATAGAACTACCAAATCTTAGAAATTTATTCATATAATCACAATTTCATTAATATATTTTGTAAATATGTACTTTTTTGTATATTTTCCTTTCTCAGTTTATGTGCGTATTCTGATAAATATGTTGTACTCTCAGTTTGACACCTTTGGGAATTATTTAAAGCTGTTTTCAAAGACACAAGAAAATTGAACTGATTTCTTACTTTGCTAACTTATATTCTTTTATTTGCTTATTAATTCCACTAATCGCAAAACAAAATCTTTGGCTTCTGTTGATGAATTTTACCTTACCTTGTGTGGAAACGGCCCTGCTTCTGGCCAAGTCTATCTTGTTGCCGACGAGGATGGCAGGCCTGGATCGTAGTAGGTCGCCGTCCTGTAGCCGGTTCAACTCAGTCTCCGCCTTAAGGAAGCTCGCTTTGTCCACGACGGAATAGAGAACGACGAAGGCGTCCGGGGGGTGATTTTTATCGACGTCCTGCAATCACATCCGATCAAGATCAGAAGTGGGACTTACGCGCGATTATGGGATCAGAAGGGGGATTAAGGGATCAACAAGTCGCTGGCGGCGAGTTCTATCTTTGTCGGTAACTGTGAGATACTTGCACTTTTATGGAGCTTCTCGGATGAATAAAAGATGCTTTTCTAGGGATTGCGGGAATTACGTTGTTGGGCGAATCATATTTATGGATAAGGGTCAATTTAATTTGTTTGGATTATTTACTCTTACATTTATGTGTAAGCAAGGTTTCAGCACGTACAAACAAATCATTTTGTTGGAAATTCTGTGATTTCTTGTGTAGAGCAACAGGTACTTATTAAGACTACCCCATCCTCGGAATTCATCAGATAATTATCTTCATGTTTATGTATAGCAGCGATATTACGAAAATATCATTGGAATATTAAGCAGTTGCTCATATTACCGAGCATTTGCACGATGTCATTATTGTTAATCACAACAAAATATGATAAAAGAAATAGTTGATGAATAACACTGTAAGTTTTTATTTATTTTACATAACTGATTTGCGACATTTAATGATTTTTCTATCTTTGAACTTGAAAAATAAATACACCGTTCGCAGCTAATATTCTAGAGAAGCTCCATCAGTTCCCAGAAAGCTCTATTTAAAATGCATAATGTAATAGGTGAAACGTCGTCGAAATCATTTACGTTTTACATTTACCTGCTTTAAAATATTTGGAAACTTGTTTTAAACAAACTTTTCGCACATAGGTATACTATCAGAGCAATTAGTTTCTTTTACATAAGTATGTTTGTAAGACATAAAATTCGTACTGAATTTAAAAAAAAAACAGTGAATGCGAAACCTTGTATTTACATTTAAACCTGAAAGCGATTTTCGTACGTCATTGACCACTGCAACTCGGGCAGAACTGAAGCATATAGAAACTAAAGTGAACGTGGTGGTCTTGTGTTACAGACTGGGTTATATAATTAGAACTCGGTCCAGGAATAACCTGCATTTACTTATATTTACCGTTCTGTTTATAGACGATGGGAAGGAAAATATATTTAGTACGTGAAACTGGTACATGCAGGTAAATGGCGAGCAATACCAAAGGTGGTGCATTCGGCAAGAGTAGGGAGTTTATTTGAAGTAATGGCAGTCAAGCTTCTTACACCCTGTATACAGAGTGTTTTTTACGTTGGATTTTTCCTTTCAACACGTTTGTTTACCCCTTCTTTAACAAACAGAAAACGCTTGAATAACTAAAACTTTTTACATAACATTATTCAAGGATGAATCTCCTGAAATTATAATATAGACGTAGAACACACCCAGTATATAAAATGCGTACCTATTCATAAAAATGTTTTTAAATATTGAGCTAATGAAAGAATAAAAATGTGGGTGGTCTTCTTCTCCTATTTACTTATTGTTTTTAGATGTCTGTTTACATCCGCGATTATTTTTAGCTTGGTTCAACGACACTTCAACATTTTATGAAAAAATTTAAATTATTCTTTAATTATTGTACTTATCAATTGTGTTGCTTCGAAAACCGTGATTTTCTCTGAAGCTATCTGAAAAATATAAAATCTGGCAGTTTGAATTTGAATTTAGGTCGAATTTATTATGCTCGAAGCATTTTAAAATGTTTCGTTTCGATAAAAAGATCAAATTAGAAAAAAGGTTCAGTACTTTTTACTACCCAAGAATACCAAAAACACTCAAATAAAGGTGTGGAAACAGTTTATTGAGTTTTGTAATAAAACGTCATATTAAACAGAATATGTCATTTTAAATGTCAAAACCTACTATGTTTTTATTTATATTTTAAGAACAAGTCTTGAAAGTCATTTATACCTGTTATATTTACATAAAAATAGTGTACAATGTGTACATAAAGTTGTATTAGGCTAACTTTTTGTGCATAGATAGATTTCCACATAAAATTGGTTGAGGTTAGGTGTTATTTTATTATAATAAATTCTATTAGACTAGTGTGCTCGTCAGTCACTTCAGTTTTGCTCTATTATGACGTCAGCAACGAGCTGGGGACTTGTTTGACATATGTTATGTTGATTTTGGCTATGCTATAACATAGAGCTGCGAATTTTTCATCATCTAATTTTTAGTACTTGTTCTAATAACAAACATTTAAAGCCTTAAGGAAGGAGTTCCTTTTGTACGTAGGTAATATTACGAATAATTTGTTCCTTGAAATTAATTTTTTTTAGCGATATTACTCAAACCGATATTTAAATTTAAAATTTCCTGAACGGACAGCTGCCGCCGCCGCCGCCGTCAGCATCATTATTTATCCTTATTTTATTCCTCTTCGAACTCCGAAACATTTATCTTTTTCAGACTTACCGAAGTCTGTGCCTAATGCAGATTCCACGGCTAACTTTGTCGCAAGTTAGGAACGAAAGTGAATTAAGCAAAATTCACGCGAGGCGTCGCGTTTCCGAAATTTGCTTTCATTAGTCCAACATGGAAACGACGTTATCGCATAAATCATGGTCTTTAGTGCGGATAAGTGGGTATTGGGGGTAAAAGGAAAATCTCGTAAAAATAAGAGAAATACCTCGGCAGAAGTTTTGAAAATAAACACATTTTAAGTAGATGCATTAACTGAAAAGGGGCTTTTTTCTTTTTAAGGAGAAAAGTTCTGTAATGGATATAAAACAGCACCGATTATTCATTGAGGATTTACGTTTTACACTGTTTATGTTTATTTTCATATCAGATCATCAACTAAACTTTAACTTATGGTACCTTCAAGAAAAAACATCGAATCGAAACAAACCAAAATGAAAATTAAAGGCGAAAAGAAACATTTTAGGTTAATGCATACATATCGAGTGGAAAAAATATCTGCGAGTGTGACATAATCTCAAAAACATGTCATCTCAAACTCCTAACATGATTGGTCCTTTTTACGACCAGAATCGGATTCAAGGAGACAAATTACAGCAGAAAACTCTATCAGACTTAAAAGAGGCGAAAGGTGTTGTGTTTTTGATCTTACCTTTGTACAAGAATTATTTTGAAACGTCAATTCGGATTCTTCTCCATTGAGCATTATTGACACTGTTTGAGCTCCTAAGATATCTGAAAATAAAAAAAAACAAAATTAATAAAGGAACAACCGAAATCTATACTATACTATAAGTTCTATGCGTTTATAAAAATTACCATTTAAACATAAAAAACTACCCTGATGAAAATCGGCCAATCAGAAAGTTGTTTAAATACTCTCAATTACTGTTTTTTAAATATATATCTGTATCATCTACCTTTAAATTTAAAGTCAGGCTTAAAAAAATTTTTAATTCACAACAAAACATACGTACTTACATAATTGTACGAGTTTACATTTATAATTTTTCGTAATTTTCTTGGAAGTCGTAAATATAAATAAGAAAATAAGGAAGCATTTCTTATTTCGTGACGACTTAGGGAAATTAAGAATAATTTAATTAATTCACAAATAGAAAAAATACTTAATTTACTAATGGAGGTAGAGGACAATATTTTATGAACCTAAACTTCTTTTCCTGTAGGAAATAAGACGTCTCATTTTTTTTCTGCGGTTGAAAGAAGAACAATGTAACTTATGAGATAATAAATAATTCAATACGGATACGAGAACATATATACCAATTTTTTTTTAAGTAAGATATTCAAATGTTAAAAATTTAATACTACGTGATATTATTTGTGTTTAATCAAGGCCTGTTATTATTTAACTGTCAAAAAATGTTCTATATTTTACGTATTTTACAAATATGGAGAGTGTGTAGCTGCGACTGTGCTCAAATTGCGAGGAATTTTCGGTAGAAAGAACGGCACGAATGAAACTGAAAAGACTAGTTGTCAAATTTGAACAATATACTTCATCTCTGTTCAACCGAACCCATTTAATATACCAGGCAAAGCATTAATCTACATGCTAGATTAATCCAAAATGTATCGTATATCTAATTACTAACTGCAGCCTCTATTACGCTGAAATCCTACTTGTTGCTCATATGCATCCCATTTACAAAGTCCTCAGTGTACCTACATTATTCCCGAGTCGCTGAGTAACAGGACAAATACAAAACTTCCCCTTACACGTGACAACTGCCGTTTTAAAACCGAAGCTAAAAGCAGCAGCCATAAATGAAGGAAGAAAAGCGATGGATGAAATTTGATTAATGCGGACTAAAAGTCATTTGTTTTGCGTTTGAATAAGAGCGCACCGTTATAAACTTTGCATTCATCGAATGGAGACGGAGACGACGAATAGAAACAGTAGTCTTTACAATTTTGTACATTGAATTGACGGGATAACTTTCTTTGAAATTTGTTGTTGTTACTTTGACGTTAAATAAAATTCGAAGATTATTTCTGTGCTGACTGTTTTTAGCAGGCACGCAGAAATTGAAACGCCAAGAAGAAAGTAAATATTTTATTAATTTTTATTCACTAACCTTGTGTGTACTTACAAAAATGAAACGAGGGAAATGAGTAGAAGAGACAGCAGACAGCAACATATGGAAGTAAAGTTATAAATAAATAACGTCTTACATTATTCAGTACCCTTAAGCCTAACAGTTGCAGACGTTTATCTGACGGTTAACTTCAATTCGTCTGCTTTTCACGTAAATCGCAAAGCGGCTGTTTCATGTGAGGTCTTTAATCACATAAAATATGTCAACAATAAGAAAAATGTAATAGTATGGTTGATTATAAGGTTTAATAGTTAATTCTACATAAAAAAATATCTTAAGACAAGGCAGGTGTCAATTTTTTAGTCAATAAGGTTAAGTGTTTAAGCTTTTTATAGTTTTGAAATTTTTAATTGATACTTATATGACTAAATACAATTTTATGATGTATAGCTACCGAATATGCTACAATTATTTCATGTAAATTCATTAACATTAGATGGAGACAAAGAGGAACAAATGTAGGGTGGCAATCGCTGGGCGCGGGCTTGGTCCGAAATAGCCTTTACATTTTGTCTATTTCTATAGTAATTTTGTATTCAATTCACTAAATTAAGTTTTTGAGAGGTGGTGTGTTATTTGCGGACCCTTTTAAAACCTTTTACTATTATCCCACAGGTTATTGGCCACAAATAGTTCTCTCATTCAATGATTGTACACCCTACCTTTTCGGTACAGCATAAAATAGACAACTGACGCCACTACAGACGAGTTGTGAATAAATAATGTCATGCATTATTCATTGTCCTGAGGCAAGCAGATGCAAAAGTTTACCGACATATTCCGTCCCGTCGTTGTTCACGCAAATAGACAAGCGACGATTCGATTCAGCATTAATTATTTCAGCAGGATAAATATTTATTTCGCCCAAATAAACAGCTCGCTTTGTCCAAATACACTTGATTTTCGCAGCGTGGTGCGTGGATTCAACTTTTCTGAACTTAGTTACTAGGCTCGCCGGTACGAAGAGTGAGATCCAAAATAGAACTGTTAGAAATCCCGAATTTATTATTGCTTGAATTATTGCCGTTTTAATAGATTTCACGTAGCCAGGATAAACTAATGGAAGTTTTTGTTCGGTTCGGCTGGATTAATGTTTGGGAGTTAACTAATTAGTTTCCAATGTGTATTGACGTTTGTCTCTACAGGGTTGTGCGGGAATCATCAGAATTCGTTTCGTATTAAAATAATTTAGGGGCGAAATAATTTTCATAAAAATATCGTGCAGTTTTTGTTAAGGCCAATGCGATCAAGAACACTTCTGATAAATTAAAATAGGTAATGCGCAACCGCGAACAGTTAGGGAAGAGAACAGCATCAGCTATTATTGTGCATGCTTACTTTGATGTTTGTAAACATTTTTGTTGATCTATAAAAAACGCCTAACAGAGATACGGATTTTCGACTTTTGCGAACTATTTCCTGTGTCTTGGGTGGTCTTGCATTGGAGGGGAATTGGTAATTTTTTATTTGTAAGCTTTTAGTTTTTGCAAAGGATTCACTTAGGATGCCGACAGTGAAGAACGGCGAAACGTTTGGAAGCTTTGGATGCGACCAGTTAACAAGGGGTTCTGATAGCTAGTCCGTCCCCACAGAACCATGTCCGAGAGCAACAAGGGCATATCAAAGATTCCTAGATTTCCTAGGCGGTCAGCGTCCAGATACATAGACCATATCATAAGATCACGAGGGAATATGAAATTTTAGGTAGAATAAGCGCCATTATTCAATTTCGTAAATCAAATAAAATTTTTTTCTGACAACGCAATTAGGTAATATCGAGAACTATCATTTATGTAGATGTCAAACTGAAAGCAGATGAAACGGAAACGAAAATAATAGTCTGAGGCGAGAGACACCCTGTATGTCTTATAATTTTTAAACATAAGCCTATGATGGATAGCTCTAATTTTGCACCAGCGTGTGTTATTTATCAGAGCTGTTAGTGTGTATTTTTACAAGGGGAACTGATTTATTGGGTGAAAATGACGTATTTCTCAGCGGGACATTGAATTTATTTAAAAATATTTTATGATTATGACTTGCTTTATATCGAGGCAACATCTTCATACAAACAGAACGTTCGAGCTGTATCGAAGGCGGAAATGTTTAAAAATGTATCCCTAGCCCGATCAAACGATTTCAAACGGAACGAAGAAAACATCTCTGCTCTTCTGGGATAAGACTGACAGGTATATCAGTTGCTAGCTCGTTTCACTGTTGTTGTGGTGTTAAAATTTAAAATATTCTTCAGCAGCTTTGTCAAATTTCACTTGAGATTGGAGGAGTGAGAAAAATATTTAGTCTTTTGTTTGTAATATAACTCTGCTGGTATTTCATATCTGTCTTTAATCCTTTAGCTAGTAATTGTTTTGAGTGCTTGTCGCGCTGTTTGGCAATTTCTCTTGTGTTTTGAATTTTATTTTCATCAACTGATCTTTTGTCATTTCATTTTGTAATTAAACTTTAAGTTTACGGCGAGTTTGTATTGAGAAGTACCTATATTAATCCAATTTCGGATAATACAAGCTTCGGAAGGCTTTGAAATCTTAATAGGTCCACATTAGCAACTAAATTAGCTTATTATTTCCGTCAAGGAGGGAATTAATTTAAGGTATTATTCATAATTTTATTAATTTTTACGGAATATGCCGGCATATTTATTCGGCATTGTCTTTAATCTGATTAACTGAAGTCGGGAGTGCACAGAACCGAAAAGCTTCGGTTTCTGGGGGAAAATTGAATTAATAAGGGGATAAATTAGGATTTATTGTGGAAGGAAGACATCGATATTTGCTGTTTCCTTTGTTCCTTACAGCACAATTTGTCTAAAGTGATGCCAGATCTACAGATTTTTTTGGAATTGGGGAAATAGGAAATTGTGCTTTATTTCTTGGGATTTTTAAGTCATTTTAAAAAGTATACTTAAATAACAACTAAATGAACTTTAAATGCAGTTTAGCACTATAGTCCATTTGAATAACTTCTCAGTAGGGGAAACAAGGTCACTAGATTTACAAACAGAGGTATCTACTAGCTACTGTAAAAAGTTTTCTTTGTTACGCGTTGTGCTGCCCTCTGTTAACGGATGGTATTAACATATCGGAATACCGAAGTCGAAATTGTATAAGTAGTGACATCTATTAAAGAAAAACCAAACGACGTAAACAAAGATGACCACCGGTCGCTGAATTACAAGTGGAAGTGGATCTTATTTGTGCAAGGGCGAAATGGGCGGTGACTATTAGACGCCTTCATTATAGCCATCTTTCTCTATCGTACGGATTTCTATGACTTACTTTATCGCTCTCACGCAACGGCCGATGAACCATGGAGACTTTCCGATCCTGTATATGAAAGTATATCATTTATTTATAAGATTTAAAACTACTAGAGGACATTCACTTTCCTAACATATATTTTTATATCTGAAAAAGTATTTCGAACCTGTTTATAAATGAACTATGAGGAATACTTAGAGCCAGTCCTTTGATCTGACGAATCGTAAAGGCTGTTTTTATATTTACATTCAAAATGGAAGAATATTATTAATGAAAAGCAGAGTAAGCACATTCAAATCTGACGTTAATATCTATTTTCTCGGAAAAATTGGATTTT